CGCACACACACACGCGCACACACGCACACACACGCACACGCGCACACAGTACAAGTGAGGAAAGCATGACTTTTTTATGTGCTCACTGGTCCTTCATGTGGTTTTATGATGATATATTAATCAAGGCAATAAGTCACAGTGTAGGGACAGTCATTAAAAATATACCTACACCCAGTGGAGTCATCACTGCTCTACTTCAACACACTAAAGGGAAGAAGAAAGGATGAAAGACTTGAAGATATAAATGGAAGGATGAATTAAAAGTGCCAGATTGTACCACTGGGTGGAACTTTTGAGGAAAACACATTCTCTATGTGTTCTTATGTCCCCATCTCACTACAGCTAAGTGTCGGTATTTGAATTGTGGAACTTAAAGAAATAGTTCAACATATTTGGATATGCACTTTAGTACTTTCTTGCTGAGAGTTAGATGAGAAGGATATACCCCTCTCATGTCTGTCCATTAAATAAGAAGCTACAGCCAGCAGCATGGTAGCTTCGCTTAGCACAAAAACTGGAAACGGGCGTAAGCCAACCTGGTCATTCCAAAGGTGACGTCGTCGAAAGGTCGTCTTAACAGAACCTCAAACCTTTGTTTAATACGTACAAAAGCTTAAGTGTAAACACAATTTGTGGTTTTACAGGGACTTTATATTTAACAAACAGATATGAGAGTGGTCTCAGTCCCAAATTTCAACTACTACTTTAAATAGCTTACAGACACTAAAGTTTCAAAACATGACTGTGCAGTGGGCTCATAAAGGGACAATTGAATTGAAGGTTTTGTTCTCAAATGTTATTAATGTTTTAAGCTGAAAGCAGAGCAGGGAAGGAAGGAAGGCATGGATAAGAGCTATGGATTAACACATTTATAGAGGAAGAGTTCAATCACCTGACATATTGTACACAAATGCCCTAGGTTTGGCACACCCTGTTACTAAGACTGGTAGGAGGAACATGTATGTAACGTATCAAAAACTACATGCACTGTATGAAACAGATAAAAGAATACAAAGGCAAATCCACAAGCAGCAGGCTTTGTTTGCAAGAACTCCCACTCCCATTTTCAAAAACATATAGAGAGCTAGCCACAGGGCCAACTCATCACATGCAAACGCCAGCTGCTGAGAACCCAGCATTTTTGGGCCTCATAAAACCAACAGCAAAACAAGAGGGGAGGGAGAGGAATAAGGCAGGAGGCATGAGACATGGGCACAGTCAGAGGTATGGATGGCTGAGCTCTTACAGGAAGGAGACACATTCCAGTAAAGCTTTTCAAGATATTCTCCCCCTCTGCTAACCTTTATACAAAACCCAGCAACCACAAAATATCCGTACAAGCTGGAGACCTACAGTGTCTGTAAAATGCAAGAAGCGGGTGAGAGTTACTAATGCAAATACGAGGTGGTTTTTCACTGGGAGCAAGAGGAGAGAGTGCTAGGAGACCGCAATCTCATCGACTGGTGTGTGACAAAACTCCCTCCTTACCTTCCTGGTCACCCTGGGAGACTACCCAAGCAACTGCAGCATCCCTGTTTACCACGGCGCAGGGGGTTTGGGTGAGGGGCACAGGGCAGGGTCAGGTGATGTAATGAGGTTGGACACGAACAGAAAGGGATCAAACAGAATGGGAGATAAAGATAGACGCTGATACAATGACCAGGTATTGACGGATGGACCCTTCGGACCCTAACCCAGCCCCCAGGCACAAGAATGAAAAAGGCAGCCTCTCTCAAATGGAGCTGTTTCACACATAAGGAGCCAAACTCCCTGGGACACACACACACACGCACACACGTACACCAGCACAATCCACAGTGCCCACTGTATGTTCAGAGTGAAATCAATGAGTACTAGAGGGATCAGGCGTGGATTTTTTATGTGAATTCCTTATGCCTGAAGGTTAAGTGAGGAAAAGGGAGGCATACGGAGGGGAACATAGCAGAGGGGAGGAGAACAGAGCAAAGAGGAATGGAGGAGAGAGTTTTCAGAGAAAAAGAGGCAAGTTTCCTGACACTGAATGCACTGTGGAGCCCTCTTACCAAGAAGAGTGGAAAGCAAGGGTCTGCTCTTCAAAGAGAATATGCATGGTGTGGTGAGCACTGCTCTGGTAACAATAAGGTTGTAAAATCTTTATCTCCACAGGCTCCATGCATGGCTCACCTTGACCTGATGGCTGGAGTTCTGTCTCTGCTCTTGTATCTACAGAACATACTCTCTGAATGAGCACCCCCAATCTTTTTCTTCTCTCCAGCAATCTATAACCCTGCTCTCGCTATTTGTTAGTTTCCCCTTCTGCTCTTTCTCTCAGTCTAACCTTCTATCTCCTTCTGAAGACTTCTACTGCCTTCTCTAGCTTCCTATATGGTTCCCATATAGATTCATAAACTTTTTCACCTTAAATCTTTGTTCCCGGCCTCCTGACCTCCTCAGGGAGCAACAAGTCTCTCTCTATTTTTTCACTTTTGCTCTCTAGCCTTCTCCTTCCCTCTCCTCATCTCTGGTCTCCATCTTGCTTTTTCAGTCTTTAGCACGGGCTGTGACCCCTAGCAGTTGTCCCATGGGTGGAACTCATAAAAGATCAATGGACTGTGCCCATCTAAAAACGCGAAACAATCAATGCTCAGGATGCACAGGCAGCTCTATGACATTTTCAGAATGAACAGCGTCCTCAACAAAATATTGAATACAATCAGAAGTAGCCAAGTTACACAACGGACAGAATCTTCAACTACAATTAAAGTGGGTGCTGTACAGTCATACCCCTCTCTCTTTCCTTGTCTTTATTGCTCTGCTGTCGCTGTCAAACAAAGGCAAAAATGCAACCTCCAAAAATCGCAGAAATAAAATGTCCAAATGTATGACAATTGATGTCAGAATTAGTTTTAAATGAATCTAAATGAAAACCTTAACCAAATTCACTCTAACAAAATTAACCACATTTGACTTAATTAAAAAAACTGTGCAATGCCAATGTGGTTACGCAATCATGATAGCTGCAGAAACTATGCAACAGGAGTAATATAAACTTGAGCAATCTGGTTTTTATTAACAGTAAAAGTAGCATCCTCCGTGTAAAAACACACATACACAACACACACGCACGCACATAAAAAGTACAAAAACAGAATGTGACCTACAGCACCCACCGCTTTCAGCCAACCACAGCCGTGCATTGCCGCAGTGCATTGTGGGGAACTAATTAGCATGAAGGGCTGTGGTCTCTGAGCAACCATGACCTGCAAGCTGAGCTAAAACTTCTTCCTTGCGCGTTCTCCACCTCTATGCCTGAGGCGCTGTAGAGAAGGTGTAGTCACTGGTGCGTTGAAATGCAGCCCAAGTGATCAGCAACTCAGGGGAGTTAGGAGAGAGGAGGGGAGGAAAATGTGGGTGTTTCCTTGGCCGACATTGTGTCTCTGAAAATGTGTGTGCATTCGGTGCATGTGAAGGTTGGCAAGGTGAAACATCAGATTGACTGCTATCATCCATGTCTATCATTGTTCTGCTTCTCTCGCTTTCCTCTTTGTTCCATCCTCCTGGGCTTGTTTCCACTCAGTGTGGTCTACAGCAGAGCCCTGTGGTGTTTTGCTCCTGACTAATCAAACTAGTCAGTGTCACTGGGCGGCCTTATCTAAAACACATGGCCATGTCAGTTCCCTTCACTCCCCGGCTTTTCAACGTTTAGCAGGTTCCCCAGGCTAAAGAGTCTTAAGGCCTCAGCTCAGCCAGGCCACAGCGAAAAAAGCAAGGAACAGGAGGGATAGCAGGTAAAGAAATACGTCCATTAGAATACATTATTACCATAAATGTGTGTGTTTTTTATTTCGTACATTAGGACTTGAAGCAAAGGTGAATGTAAATACAGCATAACCATATGTGAAAGTGCAGGTGGTGTATGTATTTGTATATATTTTCTCACAGTAGTCTATTATAGGTGAGGGTGGTTTGTTTGTTTATGTGTGTGTCTGAGCCAATGTGTTCTCATGTCACTCCTACAGTCGACTGCAAGGTGACAGTGTGTGCACATATTCCCATAGTTTACCTCGTAGAGCAGGCATCCTAGCGACCAGATGTCAGATTTGAAGTTGTATCCGTTTTCATGTATCCTCTCCGGTGACATGTAGTAAGGAGTACCCACTGGAACACAAAGAGAGTGAGGAGGGGAGCAAGAGAAAGGGACAGAAAGAGATAGACAGAGGTAGAGAAAGAGAACAGGACAAAGAGAGAGTGAGCTTTAACATTTTGCATTGCAAACCCATGCTTCCCCCAGTTCATCAACATCACTGACACAGTACAGGAAAGCAGGTGAGGAATAGAGGTGGAATCTCAAACTGTGACACATTCAGAGGTTTGGATACTCCGTCATATTTTAGCAAGAGTTTAAAAAAAAAAAGAAAACTAGAATGCACTCCCTCTGTTAATTATAAGTAAGCTCAAGTAAGATTATATTTAATAAAGTTAGATATCATCATGCACACCCGTACAGTGCATGCAATTGTGCAAGTACCACAAAGTTGCATACATATGTACAGCAGACATACTTGCACACACTAAATATACATAAATCAGTTTTGATTACTGGGGCTCGGTAATGATCTGAAACAGTAGTCAGAGAGTACGCCCAGGGAGCAGCGGTGGAGCCTTAAAAGTTGGCCCGTTTCTGGTTCTGGTTTGGAAACTCAAGAATCCCAAACTGCCATGGCGACTGGCAGAGCTCCAGAGAATCAGGCCTTCACCCAACTGGACAGAAAGAGGAACCTCAGTTTAACATCACATTCATAACACACTGCAGGCAGCTTTGTATAGTTGCTGCTTTCTTAGCTGATTCCAACTGGCTGCTTTGCTTTCTGTTTGCTGTGATTTCCCATGTAAAAGTCTATCAAGCACAGCAGAGGTTTTATGTTATTCACATATGGTTAAAGGATGGAAATTTTACCAGCCCTCTAACTGGTGCTGAGCAGCTCTCAGACTCTGCTCATTCCACATCCTCTCAAGCAAGTATGTGAATGCAGGGCTTACTTAAATATGAAGATGACATCTACACAGGCTCTGCTGAGTTGGTGTACAACATCCATCAGTAGCATTGCTGCACATAGGCCACACTATTGAGCATGTGCTTTGCATGTTAAAGTAATCAGCATATTCTTGCACTCTCCTTGGGATCCATACTGATTATTAACCTAAAAACGGATTTGTTATGCGGAGTCTATTGACTTAAACTAATTAAGTTTCTTATATTTCAATTGTTAAAGTAACACTAACTGATTACAGTATGAGATAGATGATCTAACATTACATTGTTTTATTTTTTCATTGTTTATGACTTAAAACTATTTTCTACTGAAATTCACTATGCCCAGTTCACTCTAAGCCTGTCGTGTCCAGTACTACGCCATATAGGGATTCTCAGGTTTTCAGTCCAATCAAACATGACAGCAGCTTATTTCGCTTCCTTCCTCTACAGTTGAGGGTGTACACATTTATGAAAGAAGCTTGTGAAGTAAATGGCGGAATTAAATCTTAAACAGTACTTGACACCACAGGCTGAAAGGGAAAACTAGAGGGACCTTTAATAGCTCTGCTGTGCATGTGAGGTTGAATAAAAATTACGTTGAGAAAGCTGGTGTAGCTCATTTTCACATTGTTTTGGACAAAAGCCTCTGCCAAAGGAATGTAAATGTTGAAGCTGAATTCAATGTAATTTACCGTTTTCTCTTTTTTATTTCTTTACAGAAAGAAAATCTTGAAAAAATTCTAAATAAACCAAAACCCAGACAGTCTTGCCTCAAGCCTACATACAAAATGTGCACTGGGAAACAAGTAGATAGAGCAATGAGGAAGAGTTTTCATAGAGGGTAACTGGTAGTCGTTGAGTTTACAAAAGGCACAAACAGCTGAGCTGGGTAGGTGAGAACAGCTCTCAAGTGGAAAGAACTCGGGCGAAAAGTCAGCTTAAAGGAAAATGGTAGGAAAAAGCCATAACTGCTCACTCACCATGTGAGTGCACACACACACACACAAACTCTCAAGAGTCATTCTGCACATTAACAGGTCGGCAGAAACTCAACTAATGTAATTGCAATTAACAAAACTATTACAGGAGGGAGCTATTACATTTGAGGTCTATGGGAACTGAAATGAAAGCTAGCACTTTTAATTTTGGTGCAGATCTAATTGGGTTGAGAAAACACACTTTTATCTTAAATGTGTGGTTTTGAATAATGAAGTGTTACCTGTCATTCCAAAAATAATCAGCATCTGCACAGTTAAGAAGCAAGAGAGAGCAAGTGGAAGAATAAACAGGGGACTGGGGATTGCCGTTTTAATTGGTCATCAGGTTGGTATTGTGGTTTGTGTGTGTGTGTGTGCGTGCATGCGTGTGTGAGCTGTGAGGTCTCATGGTGTGGTCTGAACAAGCTCCCCTAACATTCATTATTAGTTGATTAAAAAGAATCAGCCTCTCTTATGCTAATAGCTGCATTAAAAAAAAAGGCAGCAGCGTTGGGCTCAGGCTCCTTCAGCATGCTAAATTAAGGGCACATTACTTATTCATGCAAATAAATTGAAAGTCATGTTGGGATTGATTTCCATTATTGTGAATGGCTGTGACAACAGTGTATTCTCTGCGAAACAGGGTAATCGTTGTTGTATAGGAGGTTAGATCTAGTATAAGGAACCCCACACTTCTAACCCCCTGCTGGATGTACTGTTTAATTAACCATTATTAGTGTTCTTTTAAATACATTTATTGATTTGATTGCACAGCCTTGCTGCAATTTATCAAAGATTTAAACCTAAAGCTTTTATAGAACCATTTCAACATTGTGAAGCATTTTATAGGAACTTGCCATTAATGGTGTAAGCCTTCTCTAATTCAGGCTTTATTACCAGTTTGAAATTTCTCTAACTCTATGGCTGAATTTATCATCCAGACACAGGGCAGGAGTTTGGAAACCTCTGCTCTATCGTATTTTAACAAATAAAACGTTAAGTGGAAGGCAGCAGCACAGCCAGAATGGACTTAACATTCCCTTACATTCACATTATGTTTTTCTTGGTTTTCTATATGTCCAGCTGAGCCCACACCCCTCATTTGGCTTTTCAAGTACTCCTCTCCTTTTCACGATTCGCTTGCTTGCCTTTATAAAGATAACCAAGTTCTTTATATACATGTTGAAATCGTCACAAAAAACATCAGCCTCCCTGAAGTCGTTCTGTTTCTTGCTCTCCCTCCTCCTCTCTTCTTTCCTTTTCCTCCCTTTTCCCCAGTACTCATCGTTAACACCTCTCTCATTACAGGTGTTAATTGCAGGTATATTATACTACTTATTACTGCCAATTGGCTAGTCTCTCATTCCTCTGATGACTGCATCAACTTTCCACTTACTACCGTTGTTTTGTTCTTTTTCTCTTTAATCTAGCTCGTGCCATAACCCTGCGTACCCATCCTCGGCACTGAAAAGTGTCTAGTGTGTGCGTCTTTTGCATGCTTGTGTGTATTTTTGTCACTCTCATGTCCCAGAGAGTGGATGTATATGTATCACTGAGTGTGTCCCCGTTGAAGTACATTTATGCTGCAAACCTATGTGAATGTGCACAATTACCTGCCTCTGAATGCCTGTGCGTGCGTGCATTCAAACCCATATGGATATGCACATGAATCTGTGTTGATACATACATCTGTATAGGAGACAAAGAGTCTGAGTGTCTTTCAGTGTGTGCAAGAGTGTGTAAGAGACAAAAAAAACTGTGTGTGTGTGAGACTGCAGGCTGCTGAGCGGCTGAGTTGAAAGCCTGGGAGCTGACAGGCTGTATGCCTGGACCTCCATCTCATCTCCACCACCCTGCTCAACTGTTCAGCTGGGTGGCTGGGCTCATTACAGACCCATGCTGGCACGCGATTGCACGCGAACACACACACACACAGAGCTCTTCCTCACATTCTTTCTTTCTATCCCTCTCTCCTCTTTCCTTTTTTTCCTTCATTTTTTTCTGTCACATTGTCATATCCTCTCCTCTTTCTTTCTCCCCTCTTAACTTTTTTCTTTCCCTTTGCTTTCTTTTTTCTCCTCTTTTTTCTGTGTCACTCTGTCACATTCTCTCCTTTCGCACATAGCACATTCTACCTTTCTTTGTCACCAACTCTTCTATTTCTCATGCTCCTTTTTTCTCTCTCTCTCTCTCGCCCCCCTTCACCCCAACCTTCGTCTTTCTCTCTGACTAAAAGTCAAGGCACCAGAGGGCAAGAGAGAGGGAAGGAGAAGTGAGGACAAGATAGACAGAAAAACAGCAGCAGGAGAGAAGGATAGGTGACAAAGAAAGACCGAGAGGGGATATGCTATTTGAAAAAAACCACAAGAAAACCCGAGGGGGAAAGCCAGGGACAGAGGGTGGATGGATGACGCACTCTGAATCCCAATGTCAACAGGCCATGCTAACCTGGGGACATCTGCTTCTACAAGATCATCTACTGAATACCGACACCCTCATATAGTTGAAATATTCTTAAAAGGATACAAAGTTCTGTGGTCAGCCAAAGGTGATATAAAATGTATCAGATCATAACATGCATATTTGTGGTGATTTGTGTAATAATCTAAGGTCTAATAAAAGGAGTACTACATGTTTGTGTAGTTTTCTGAGATTAACGAAGCAGTCTTGATTGCTTCAGATTAATGATAAGGGTATTCCAGTTGACCCCTCTTCTTGTGGTGCTGCCAATCTTCTGTCAGCCTAAAGAGGGTGCTGTGGACTCAACATTTAATGAGCAATCACAGACTCTTTTTCACCCTGCTCTGCTGGCACTGCAGGCTGCTTAGTTGATAGGGCTTCTGTTGACTTGATCATGTGATTCACACTTTCTCAAAGGCTGGGCTGCTGCTGTACAGGGGCTGAGAATAGCACGCTGTTTGTGGTAATAACAGTTTGACATAGGGAAGTGAGACAGTGCGAATGACAGCGTTTATATTTGTCCATGGAATTTGGTTTCTACATTTTCCATCATGAAGCAGCTGAAATTGCAGAGGGGATGTTGGATAGCACCTTCACTTACCTCAATAAGCCATGTTGAAACCAGTGTAACCACCTCCATTAAATTATCTGAGCCACACTTTACAGTGGACAATCAACTGCTTAAGCACTAGTGAAATTAAGAGATTCATTTTAATACTTCTAACACAAAATACCATAATTTGTTGGACTTAAGAGAACACATGAATCTAGAAAATATGCTTGTTTTCATTTTTGCATTTTTCACACTGACACTGTTAAGGACAATCTTCAAGATGCCCTGTCTCCATTTCTCAAGACATGTTGGTCTAAAATAGTGCCTTGAATAATGTTTGAATTTATTGTCTTTAACAGTAAATCATTCCCACATGTGACTGTCAAACCTTTCTACACAAAGGACAGAATGCATTATTTTCTATGCATAAGTGTGATTATTTCTGGAAAGGTTTATTCATTTTTATTGATTAATTTCTAACATTTGCAGTTCACAACAATATATTCATCATGTCCTGTCTCTTTCTGGACTTTGTAGCATTATGCCCTATGATGCTAAACAACAAAAAGGTGCAGTAGGGCACAGTGATGAAGGCTGGTATGAACAGGCTGTTAACAAATTGTTAATAGGTATGCATGTGTTTTTAACACTAGGACACCTGTGAACTAAAGTAGATGTGTGTATGTGAGTCTGTGCATTTGTGTTAAACCCCATGTCTCCAGTAAAGTGAGGCAAGCTACAGATTTTCACTGAGAGGACTTAAGCGGTACAAATGTCTATTCCTGTGGAAATCAATAATCACTTAAATGTTGTTTTACTCTCTTCTTAAAGTTATGGCCTTGACTCCTAAAGATTTACAGTACAAGGTCCATAGTCATTAAACACCTTATGTGTTAAAGAATGCATTGAAACATGTGGTACCAGTCTGTCTGTCAGATTGTACAGTCACAGGTTTATCACACGTATTATACTCAACCAAAAGGAAGCAAGTCTTAATTACTGTGGCAATTTTGGGCTACAATTCTCACTTCTTTGAACAAAAAATGATGTATGATTTCATTTCTACAAGTGACAAACACAGCCATCAATTCCAACAATAACCCTGATTGTTAAGTTGGCTGGCTTGTTTTATGGCACAGTCACAATCAGAGCTGTATGTCGAAGGCCTCTGCCCAGTCTTCATCTGTGTTAGGTTTAAAGGTCAAGGCAACAGGAAGTCGCTAAGTGGCCTATGAAGGGGCTGGGCACAGCCGTGGCCAGGCAGTATGACTATATGACACATGGCTCTGGGCTCACCATGCCTAATGAAACACATCCAGCACTGGGTGATTACTGGGGGCCGCTGTGTCCAACTGTCTGTATGTGCATTTGTGAGCTCATAAGAGAAGAGTGTGTGTTTTAGAGTGTACACACACACACACACATATGTATGTATAGACTGTTGTAAATTACCTAGCGAGTGAGCGGCGGTTGTTTTGGAACTGAAGAATCGTCCCAGTCCCAAGTCTCCTAGTTTCACTACTCCAGTAGCTGTGATGAATACATTGGCCGGCTTGATATCTGGAGAGAAGTGAGGAGAGGATATGGTGAATTGGTTGCATACAAAAATCTAAATGTTTAAATGCATAATGTGAATGTTACATTAGTGACAGAGAATTTGAGGGACAATAATGCCTATGGTACAAGGATATGATCATAAACAAAAAAACAGTATATGTCCACTGTGATGGAGATTAATTTGGAAAAGTTTCATTTTTGGTCTTTGCTCAGGAAACATGATTGTATTATATGCATAAAGTGTATTATTGAAAATATTCAATTCAGTTAATGTGGGCGTTAGAAAACCATTTCTGTTGCTTTTTCTAAAGTAATGTTAATGTGACACACATCAGCCTTTGAAATTTACTGCTCTAATATAATTGTAAGCGGCCTTTGAATAGGCAGCCTCTGCTAAGTGGTCATTAAAGCCCAGAGCTCAGGGTTCATTAGTTACCATGTGCCCTAATCAGAGTCAGTCCAACGGAAGTCCAACACCTGTAGCTCAGTGTGTGTGTGTGGGTGTATGTGTGTCTAGCATCCAATGCACATGAATCCAGGACTTTGACTGGGCCCTACTGAAAGCATGTGTGTCCATAAACACTGAGTTCTCTGGTCTATGTGTTGTTTAACACCTACACTTAAGCTTTTTGTCATATGCAACAAGGTCATTCACACTGAAGAAAATTCATTGACTTTATGTATCATTTTTATTTTAAGGACTTACGAGGAACAGACTACTGAATGTATTTTTTAGTTAACTAGGCAATGTACACAAGCACAATAGTGATTTTCTTAAGAGTATTTCCCCACCTTCCAGACATCCATTGGTTTCAGTTCAATGTAGTAAGCAATTCAAAATGTACTTGCAGAGACTTGAAACTTGTTTGAGACAGATAATCCATCACAGCCAACAAGCTTTGCTACCGCTGTATTATGGTAACGCAGTTGCAAGCACAGGCTATTTTGGTAACTCTCCCCATTGTTGGTACATTAAGAACCACATTCCATTTAATTCCTTGTTTAGGCCAAATATCCACTAGACAATAAGACCAGTCCCAGGCTGGTTGCAGGAACAGTCCCATGCATTGTCAAGAGAGGGTCAATGCACACCTTGTCTGGGATGTCTCAAACATTATCAAACATGCATAATTTCTGTTGGTGGAATAGGGAAGTGTGTCACTCTATATCAAGGAACTCGGTGCACTACTCTAAGATCATGACAGAAATTACTATAAGTGAATGTAAAAAGTCTTCTGACAAAACTCCCTATGGTTTGCTTAAACTTCAGGCTCTGAAAAGTAATTGATTTATGCTAGTGCTTTTCATGTCACAACATTAATAGTACGTGTTAATAGTATGTACTTTTCATTATTACTCTAAAACTTAAAAAAAAATGGTGGCTCAATTTCAAGTGCACCCTTGTCCATATTGGAGAGATTCTATACATTTTCTTACTTATAATGAAGAAATAAGCCAAATCTGTGTGTAGGTGTATGTTTATGTTCAGTACGTGTGTATGCATCAACGCTACCTCTGTGCATGACTCGCCGGGAGTGCATATGTTCGAGAGCACTGCAGAGCTGGACGAAGTACTTCCACACTGTTCTCTCTGGGATAAGCCTCCTCTGCTTCTTAAAGTGCTGTAAAGTAGATGCAAGCACACACACACACACACACACAAGCGCACACACACAAACACATACCAAACCAGAAAATCAAACATTAGCATACCTGAAAGAGGGAACAAATAAAATATTTTAATAGGAATGAGAAAGGTCTTTTGTGGCACGGAATACAACTTTAAGATGGTAGCAAAGTGTTTATGTCTGTGTGTGTTTATACAGCATCCATCCCCAGCCTCAGTCCCCAGCTCTGACTCCACTGTTAATGGAACCCAGACCACTCTCCTCTCAGTCTGTCCCTTGCCTAACCAAGCTCCGTCTCATTTTCTCAATGGCCTACAATGGAAAGCACATGAATTCTCAGGAACAGAGAAAAGAAATTTGTGGTACCTTCCAAAACTCTCCCATCTGGCACACAGCTCTTTTGTTAGGTACAGTGCAGCTTTCAGTGGCACAGTGGTTCCAGTTGTTTTTAGTTTAGATTTTTTATTTATTTATTTATCTTGGAGGGCTGAGTGAGTCGTTCTAGATCATCAAGAGTAAGGCCCGTACCCTAAAAGCCACAATGATGACGGGGCTTCAACTAAGGCATAATGGCTTATTGATCCACAGTGAGAATAATCATCAAGTGAGGACAGGAAGTCCTCCTCAAACAACAGTGGGTACGATTAAGAGCATGTAAGAACTCTGGCTAAAAGAAGGATTTTATGGGGTGTCCTCAGGGTTCTATTTGCTAAGAAAGAAAAGTCTGGACTTTAGCCAGCTTGGATGCCAGAGTCCTCCACACGACAATTACAATTTAAGCATTTCACAGACTCTTACCAAGAAAAACTATCAACAGAGAATTAACTAGATAAATCAGACCTTAAAACTTCAAGTAAAGTAGAAAATCCTTGACAATCATTTATGTTGTATTTTAGGTACATTCATATAAATGCATTGATAAGGTATAGGCCCCGTATACCTTGAAGGTTTCTGTCTCCAGATATTTCATTTTAATGATAAACTGCTTGTTTCCATTTCCTAGTATTACACACATACGTTTTTATGTGCTCTACAATCTACTGCATTGTAGTTTTTGAGTAACTAAGTGTGCATGTACAATATGTGTGAGCATTTGTAACTATTTTAGCACTATTTTAGTACAGATGTTAGCAGTAGTTGGCAGTATACTGTGACTCAGTGTTCCAGCTCAGGCTAGGGTTTTGTTTTGATTGAATGTGGTGGTGACATGCTTATACAAACTGAAAAGGCAGGTGTCAGCAGCGCATCTTAAAGTGTCTTGAAGGTCTTCAGCATCATCAGAATCTCTTGATACCACAAAAACTGTATTAGTGCTAAAATGACTGCCAAAAACTTTCTGCTTGCACCCTTTGGGCACTCGCATTAAAGGCCTCTCCATCTCAAACTCTCAGGCTGAATTTCAGTCCCAGTACATCTCTACGCTGGTGCATCAGTCAAAATCAGGCCAAATCTGCCAAACAATGATAACATGTGCCACATACAGGAAAACTAAATTAGCAAAGAAGAACATTGGTCACAAGCTCGCTCTCACCACATTGACTGAAAGATATTTTTTGAGATACCTGCTAAGCAACACTACAAACTGAAACCTTGAACATGAGATCAGACTGAAAACCTTTGACAGTCTCAAAAACACAAGAACATCACTAGCTTCAACAAAAGCACTACATTGGAACTTGTATTTTAAGGTATTCCTATTATTTTGTCCATTGTATATTTGTGTGTCTGTATGCATGCACATATTCTCAAGAATCGTGGAGATACAACTACTGTTGCTACAACTAACGGAAATTGTGTGATTGTGTGTTCTGGAAGATATGCAGGGGCAGTTGAGTAATCTACTTTCTACCTTTCTTGTTCCAACCTATCCTGTCTCTCTTCAGTGTGTGTTCTTGACAATGCTACACTATTAATGGCACTACATTAAGGTTGTGTAGTAGGATGTAGGTTTATCTACTATAGAAATAGAATAACCTGTCTTCTCTAGTGAGGTCAAAAGTCAAGGAGGAGAAAGGACAGGACAAGGGGAATTACTGATCTATAGCCCTACTAAAAAATATGAGAGAGCAAAAGTGACAGATTGAGAGAAAGGAAAAAGAGAAAGAGGGAGATGGATGGGAAGACAGCAAATAGTGAAATAATGGAAATAAAAAGTAAAGGAAAGGTTGCAGGTGATGGTAAGAGATACAGAAAATGAAGTAAGCTGCGAGAGAAAGAGAGGGATAGAGAAAGATAGAGAGAGAGAGGGAGGGATAGACCTTGGCCTACATCCAAACAAAGCCTTAGTGAGAAGCCATTCTTTCCTTGCCCTCCCATTTCCATATCAGAGGACTGTTTGATGTCAATGGGGGAGCACATAGACGCCCACCAACACCACCACCCTCTTCTCCATGCCTTTAATAGCAAACACTGCACATGCAATATTCTGTAAGTGCATGCAAATCCAGGACCATTTGATTTCATTTGAATTCTGAGATGGTCAGAGAGAAAGTAATAGAGAATGAGGGAGGGAGAGAGAAAGGAGAGAGCAGCATGGAGGACGAGAAATCAAAAAGAATAAAAAATGTTAAATTCATGCATGGGGGGGGGGTTCTATTTTACATATGGCACACTGTATGAATGTGTTTACTTCACATTATGGCCCAGGAGAGGGGGGGCTAATCCATGGCACGCACCTCTGGACTGCCACTGTTACATTAGAAAAACAAATCATTTAGAACAGCGCTGGAGACAAATGGTGCAGGGGAGAGGCGTGTACTTGTATGTGTAAGACTGTACGTTGTCAGCAGCCATAAGGAGATGACACAGTCTGAATGCTCCCAGCATCCTCTGTAGCTTAGCTAAGATAGCAGTGACGCTCAGTGGTTTGTTATCTTACCTCTTCAGGCTGCCATGATATGTCTTTTTTTAAGTGTATCTCTGCATGAGTGTGTTTTTATGGTTGTGTCTGCACATTCTTTGCTTACACAGTATACCATATGTATGTATTCAGTGTGTGTATATGTGTATGTGTGTGTGTGTGTGTGTGTACTGGATATATATCACTGCTGTATGTGTGCTGAGCCTGCCATGTTCACTCTCTTGTACCGCTAATCCTCGCCTCTCCTAATTTGCTGTGTTGAACTGTGCGGATGTGGAGCTGCTGAGTATGACTGCAAACAGCTTGTCGAGCTACGCAGACACAACGCTGCGGCATCATTTATGCATGGGAGAAGACCAGGCTTTTTACATGCACACCACTAATTTGCTATACTGGCAGGTTTTTATAATAACTGGGGGTTTGGTCTAACTCAAAGATGAATAACAGGGTGAGCCTAGGATGTAATCGCTACCACTTTTGAACAACCCTGTTCCTTCTCCTGCTCCTATTTCAAAAACAATATCCCTCTGCAGAAAACCTTGTTGATCTAGGTTTAAGACATGGTCAACTCAACACATCCATGTGGCTCAAAGCCAGATGCTATGTACTTTATTCTTGTATACATTTGCTTCTATTTTGACGCAGTGTTGATTTTACTGGTTAGATCCACAAAAAATATTACATCTAGTTTTTGAGGGAGATTTAGCCTGAGATAAAAAGCTAGGTAGACTTTTTTTGAATGACATGTGGCCGGTATTGAGGCAAAAAATAACAATGTACATGAGAAAAAAACAATTAAAACCTTAAGTTTACCAAAATCCTTCATCACAATATTACCACAAATGACAGCTTTTGTTCCAAGTACCTCACCTCAAGATTTAATATGTAAAAGATATTAGGAAAACGTAAGATTAAACCCAGAGAAGTTATGCTCAGTACTACATACATACATACAACACATGCTGGAACTTTATGACTATTAATCATTGCTTCAGTCTTAACAACTTCCCTTTCAGTCTAGGCAAATGTCAACACAGGCCACTGTGATTAAAGGGGGTTGCAGGAGGCCATATATTAGTTGGTTTTTGGTTTCAGTAAGGAATGGATGATTCAGACTGACTCAGTGTCCAGGTAGTCAAAATCCTGTAATAACAATAAACCACAGACATCCTGCCACCATTGCTTCATTTATAAATGGCCATGTCAGCAGTTTTGACACCAAATGTCTGATATGGTGTTGGACTGGCTATTAGTTCCCTTTATAAGAAATAATAAAAAACACTGGATTTTTGGTTTATCTGATAAACCAAGACCATGTGTCCATTCTTTTCTGAGTCTGTGTCCTTTATGGCTCTTGTGGTTGAGTGTTACTTGAAGTATTTCATGACCACATGAACAAATCAACTGCACTTGCAGCAGTCTGGACAAGAGTGTTTGTGTGTTTGTTTGCTTTTGTGGAGACTTCCTTACCTTGATCATACGTGAGAGGTCCCCTGCATCTGCCAGCTCCAGGACAATGTTCAGCTCATTGTCCTCAATAAAAGACGCATGGTACTTTATCACATTGGGGTGGTTCAATTGCTGTGGGAGAAAAAAAAAAAAGACATGTCATGGAAAGAAAACGCAAACAGATTACATGTTGTTGACACTTGTCACACTAAAAGCTTCCATGGTCACACTACCTAATCCAGCTGTAAAAATCATTCCTTGTAGAAACTACAGACAGAAGCATATTCTTGCCAACTAGTTACAAAATGAATATCAAAACAACCTTATCTGCTGATAAATAAGGTTCATGTAATGAGCTGTGCAATCCACTGTACTTTCACCACCAATTAAAACAAAACAGTTGAATATTTGGAATCCATATTTGGTAAGTGTGGACCTAATGAGACGGTTTTGTCCTCCAGTGTGACAAAGCTGGGTGACATGTCACAACAACCCCTCTGTCTGTGATGACAACAACCCATGTGACACACACACACACAC